CTACTCCCATTGTAGACCTCCCCCCCCCCCGCCATCTCAGAGAAGCTGGTAGGGCTTTCAATCCTTCACACAGTTTGCTCAGAGTAAGGAAAAATTGTATTCCAATGGAGCTCCCTTCTGAGAAGATGGTATTAGTCACTCTGGACAAGATGAGCAGCATATAAATGTAATAATAAATAAAACAAAATATTGTCTCTCTTTCTCAGTCCATCCCTCTTTTCAGGGAGGTTGTTGTGGGTAAAAGAGGAAGAGGCATTGGGTACGTTCATCACCTTGAGTTATCTATAAATATAATAACGGCAGGATAAAAATAAATAAAAAAATGATCTCTGCTCAGGTGCTCAAAACTCCTACATGGGTAAATCTGGGAGGTGGCAGCTCCTTCCAGCACTTTACATTTAAAGCCAGGTGGAAGAAGTGCCTGCTAAACAGATTCTGGTTTCACCTTTCCTTTAAATAAACATTGAGTTGACTCAATGTTGACTCAACCTTGAGTTTCAACACCTTGTTCCTAGCATGGTGGCTTCACCACCAGAGATTCCAGCATATTGCCAGCAGGGCTGTCTTAACTCATGGGCCTGATGGACACTTGCCCGTGAGCTCCATGAGCATAGAGGCCCCATACTAATCTCTGTGTGTTAACCCTTCAATGTATCATATAAATAAAGCAATGTATTTATTACATTGTAATGCATTTTTATTAACACTAACATGCATTAATATAAATTAACACCGATAACACTGATAAATATATGTTTAGTTTTGTCGACCATTTACATTTTTATTCCTGTGAGTAGTTGTCGTAGGGGGCCCAGTACACTGCTTTGCCCGGGGGCCCATAATGCTGTTAAGATGACCCTGATTGTTGGAGGCCAATATTCTCTCCTTCCCAATCTTCATCTTTAGAAAGTGGAGGAACGATCTGCCCTGATAGATCACGGATTTGCTTTTCGCCCTCCCTTCAACTCTGCTCTTCCCTAGATTAAAATATTTCTCCTTCAATTTAAAAACACACGTTAAAAGGTTAGGTTCCTAAAAAGGCCTCCGGGGACCATAGGGAAGCCTGAAGAATGAAAACAAAAATCCCAACGGTAGCTGTACAAATAAAGCCAGAGAGAGAGAGGATTTAATAGAGTGATTAAAAACATAACAAAGAATGAATTATGAATGATTATAATATAGCATTTTATTATCCTCTCTTCTATTCATATTAACACGTATAATAAATATTAGGATCACAGAAAATAAAACAATGTATTTCAGAGACTCAGCTGAGATTCATTAGGAGCTTTCTTTCAAGTCTTATTTTGGTTGGATCAACTCCATACCAGCAGTAAGAATGTGGATAAATATTGGGGAAAGTAAGTAGCTGCACAATTATGGTTTTGTTTCTCCTGCTACGCTGGCTTTGCATGATAGCATGATATTTTTAATGCAGTCCAAAGCTCTGACTTCTCACAACAGCTTTCTATTTTTTTCCTTTTAAACACAGAACACACACAGAGAGAGTCTCTGTCTCTGTCTCTGTCTCTCTCTCTCTCACACACACACACACACACACACACACACACACAACACACACAATGGCAGTCACATCGTATTGTAGTTTCCCTCCCTCCCTCTTTCTCTTTCTCTCTTTCTTCCAGGCTTTGGTTAGCTCTGACCACAGCTATNTATCTATCTATCTATATCTATCATTATATATATATGTGTGTGTGTGTGTGTTTATGTGTGCGTGTCCCAGCATAACTCTGGAATGCCTCGAGCAATTTCAACCAAACTTGGAAACTTGGTACACAGATAACTTACTCTCTGGACAAAAATATTGTGGGGGTAAGACACTCCTAGCACCCCTTGGGGGGGGTGTCCGTGTCCGTGTGTGTCCATGTGTGTGTGTCCCAGCATAACTCTGGAATGCCTGGGCCGCTGAAATGAAAAGGACTGAATTATATCTATCGTGTCAGGTCACAGTCCCTTTGACAGTGACAGTGTGCATTTTGGATTCATGTTCTGTTAAGATACAGCCTGTTGTGCCTTAAAATGGCTTCTACTGTAAAGCACAGGGGAGTTGCCATGGTAACGGCTTCGCAGTACTCCACAAGGGGGCTCCCCCTAATACAGGATGGGGATAAATGTATACCTGGGCTACTCCGGGTTATCAGCACTTATGAACTTACTCTCACTTCTGAACACTTACAAAAGCTACGCAACCAGTGGAGCTGCGTCTTTGCAATGTCACAAAAATGGGGCAGGACTCATTTAACAAACATTCTACTTAGTAACAACAAATTTTAGCTCAATTATGGTCGTAAGCTGAGGATCCCCTGTACTAGTATAAGCCGCCAGAATTCCATAAGGCAGGTAGTCCTCGACATACGACCACAATTGAGCCTAAAGTTTCTGCTGCAAAAGTGAGACATTTGTTAAGGGAATTTTTGCCCACATTTTAGGACCTTTCTTGCCGCGGTCGCTAAGTGAATCATTGCAGGTGCCAAGATATGAAACATG